TAAATGTGGTTCATCAACCTAATGCAGTAGATGAAACATGCATAGATTTATGCTTTTTGTTGCAGAACATGTCCATAATTTATTGTTAAATGAGAACTCAAGTTAGAAAGAGTACATACCATGCCTTCCCTTCAAAAATGCATGCACATATTTATAATTATTTATGGGGATGAATCTCAAAGGCTATTCAAACATTGTGTTTTCTCTAGGTTGTGGACTTTTAGACTATTGTGCTATATTCTCTCATTTTTCCTCTTGCTTACTCTCAATTCAACGATGAACATCCATTGTGTAATTTTTTTAAAGAGACTGAAAACAGTTCCAAGACTGAAAACCCAATATCTTGTCTGGAAGCTGGAAGCCGGCACTGACTGATCCATACACTTGTGCCGAATCCCCGCACCTCGCGACCCGCCGCGGGGTCGTGATTATGCAGCGAGAGTGAAAGCAGCGACAGCTCAGCGTCCACTGTTCTCTCTGAGGCGCCGTGAGAAGGCTGAATGTCACCCGGATCGCCGCTGATGGTGTCGTTCTCACTGTTATACCCAGCATCGATTTTCATTCCTTCCACTGGCCCCTGTTCTCCAAATCCCCGGGAGAAAACGCTGGCCTCTGTTTGGCTGTTTGGAAGCCAGGGAGAAGCAGGTGGGAAGGCACACTCTCTGTGGGAACTGAACGTCTAGCTGGGAGGATAATATCCCAAGGCTTTCACAACACTCAAATGAAGCAGATCGGGCCCCAGGCCAGGGCGAGGTCCCAGGCAGGGTGGGCGGGGCAGGGGGTGGGGGGCTGGTCAGGGGAAGGGGTCAGGGGCCGCAGGGCACATCCTTGTCAGGTGCTGATGGCACCTTGTTAATTGCTTTTCCGATGCTGCGACTGGATTTGTTCACACCCCGTGATGAGTATGGAGTGCGATTTTAGAGGCCAATTAGAAGGACGAAAACGGTGCTGAGAACAAAATCCACTTTATTCGTATTTTTAGAGATCCTGCATAGTTTAACAGGCTCTAAGACCCATTTTTATCCGAGACAATAATATCCCAAAGACAAATATATGGAAGGGTGGGTGGGTGTGTGTTATCCTCGCCGGTTCCTGTCCTGGCATCGCGGGAGGAAAAAATCCATCTCATGAACATCGGCTCAGCAGAAAGGCTGGGGTTTAGGCGGCTTTGCTCTCGGGTGAAGTCCCAGTGTTCAGAACAGTGCTAGGCCCGCAGAAGGAGCTTAATAAATACTGAATGAGTGAGGGCCCCCTCATTTTCATCTTTAATGTGCAAAGTAGTTCGTTTTCTCTTTCAAGCGCATGGTGGATATTAGTGACTGAAGTGCACTTGACTTGCACCGTCACACGTGAGGGTTTCACGGGATTTGACAGTCATGCTCGGCTCCCGGGCTCTGCCCGCGCTTGTCGGAGAAACCACCGAGGTCACAGTGGAAAGCGGCAGAGAAGCACGGGACAGCTGGCGTCCGTCTTTCAGGAATCGGATTTCCAGAGTCCTTGGTTTCCTGACGGCTCTCCCCCGGCCGGAGGGCTAATTGACATGCACTCAGTGCTTCCAAAACCATGGAAATGCCCCAGAGGGCCGGGGCCACGTCACTGCTGCAACATTTCAGTCTGTTTTTGTCCTAAAAAATAAGTGATATTTTTCCTCTTCTATATTATGTCTATGTTTGTTTAAGTATAAAGATGAAGAGGCTTCTTCCCGAAATAGTCATCTAAAAGTAACTTTTCAAAGGCCTCTTATTACCCTCAGAACGTGGTCCAAATCCCACCAGGGACCTTCCACAGCGGGCTGGTCCCTGCCTGCCTTTCGGGGCCACCCCTTCCCACCCCCGTCCACCGCGCGCGCCTGCTCTGCAGCCACAGGTGATGGCTGGGGTTCGTCAGAGTGCCCCTCTCTGCCCCCACGGTCTCGGGCTCTTGGTGCTCAGCCTTCCTCGTGCTGTCCCCGCTGCCAGACACCCCGATCCCCTTCTTCCCCCTTGGCCAACTCTTACGTGGAGAATGTTCCCCTTGGCCCTTCCCTTTAGACACAGAAAGATGTCCCAGCAACATCTTTCATTTCATGCGAAGTGCAATGCATTTTATTGTTACTACTTACTTAGTCATCTCTCTCCTTCATGGGCTCCGTGCTGTGGAGTAGCATTCTTGTCGAGGTTTTCTTTCCATTGGTTCTCACTGGCCTCACTCAGGGCGTGGTAGCTTGTCTGCGCTTCTAATCTTCTGCCTCTGCCCCGATACAAGGCCTCCTGAAGCACTGGCTACAGTAGTGCGTTTACTCCCTGTGTGTTCGGGTTGAGATTAGCCATCAGGAATAAGTTCTGCAGAAGGGAATTTACCCGATTTATTTCTAGACGAATAGTGTTTCCGGAGTTTAGGTGTCTTTGCTTCCAAAGCTTAATGGTAGACACCAAAGTTGCCCAAACAGATACATAGATAATGACTGAAAAGGATGCCGGGAACCATCATCAGAGAGACCAGTTGGTGTTACCTCCGTGATCACACATTTCCATCCTCCCCGCAGTCCTCCAGTTGGTCCCATCCGCTTCTGGGGACGCCCCACCCTTTGCAGCCCAGTGTCATGCATTGTAGCAAATTGTTCTTTAATGATCCCAGTAGCATGACGTTTAAAATGGATGACAAATGAGAAATTCAATACAGACTAGCTACATCATTTGGATTCCTCTTGAATGTGAACTCCCAGATAAACTCTCTTCTCCTGCGTTAGACATCGTATTGCTTTGACTCTGTTTCCAACTCTGGAAAGGACGACCCCTTCTTAGCTCAAGCTTGGTGCTTGCAGAATGACTCTGATTCTGAGACAACAGTGACTAAGATTAGGAAGGTGATACCTGGAGGTTCAACCAGGTGTCGATGGCCTCCTAACAGGCGGTGATGACTGCAGGAGGCAGTGGAGAGCTCAGGTGAAGCAAACAGATGAACTCTGTTGTGGCAGAAGGTGTCTGTGACATACGGAAGCCTGGGGTAACTGGTGCCATCAGCCAGCTCCTGTGTCTCTTTGTTCACAAGGTGGCTTCCAGCTGCTGGAGTCCCCTTGTTTGTTCCCTACAAAGATAAGAGTGCCTGGGAATTTATGTAACCTGGGAGCAACTTTTGAGCAGTGCTGAAGAGTGAAGGATTGTAGCCACTCCAGCTCCCTTGTCCTCTGATTGGGATAACTCAGGTGCAACCTATGCTCTCTCCAAAGCTTCCCCATGGAATTGGCCCCGAGTTCCCCTCTCTGAGACTTCTTGGTATTGAGTCCTGTTTAGCTTCCTTGTCTTCTCTTTCCACACTCCCAGTGTCCTAAAGGTTTTTTCCTGGAAATGCTTCTCAATAAATCACTTTCACATGAACCTTTGTGTTAGGTTCTGCTATTAGGGAGTCCAACCTAGTACAACACACATAGAACTGGAAACGTGGTCCTTAAAAACTGGTTGTTACTTCACCACCATGAGCATTGACCCAAGTGGGCCTTGAGTGGGACCTTGTAAGATTTGTATAGCTGACCCAGCAAATCTGCAGATGCGACTCTAGCTACTGATACCCCAAATGCTCTCCCCTGCTCATCCCCAGTCATCCCTTCCTCGGGCTCATCTTCCCTGACCGCCAGGTCAAAAATAGACCCCAGTTACTCCATTATGCACATATTGGCACCTTGTTGCTTTCCTCTGGGGCACAGACTAACCATGGCCTCTAATTATTGCATGGATTTGTGCCTTCCTTTGGCTTTGATCTTCACCCCAGGACTGTAAGCTCTGTCAGGTCAAGGGCCTCCTCTTGTCTTGCTTCCTTGTACTCTGTGTCAAGGCCAGTGCTTGGGGAAAGTTCGTGGAAGGAATGACCACATTCCCCCTCCTCTATTGCGTCCATCAAGCCTGCCTTCTGCTGAAGTTGCAAAAATGGTCTTGTATGTCCAGGGCCGATGAGACATTAATAGAGGCCTGCTATGCAGAAATATTGGAAAACCCATGCGGCCCGAATAAGGAAAACAGATGAGGCACATATACGTATAGGGACTGTTTAGTCTGGGACATAGCAGCCAGTAAACAGATTGTGCCGGACAAAATCCCCTCTTTTCCCTGAGTCCCTCTGCATGACTGTGCCTGGTGCCTCTGAGTCGGATTCTCTCAAGGTAACAGTTACACCATGAGAGGGATTTTTGTTTTGTTTTGTTTTGTGGGTCGTACATTAACCCTTTGGGACAATTAGGACCTCTCTGAAGTTGTGAAAATAAGACGAGTTCTGAAATCTTCTACCCACTTAGAGGGACCAGAGCAGAAATTCTCAAAGTGGGTCCTGCAGAACACCACTATTACAGGACGTTAAAATAGGCTTCCACAGAAACAAAAACATATATAGGTTGAAAAATATATTTAGGAAGAATCTTTAATATGTTAATATATATATTTTTAAGATTTTTAAAAGATTTTATTTATTTACTTTTAGAGAGGGAAGGGAGGGAGAAAGAGAGAGAGAGAGAAACATCAATGTGTGGTTGCTGGGGGCCGTGGCCTACAACCCAGGCTTGTACCCTGACTGGGAATCGAACCTGTGATGCTTTGGTTCCCAGCCCGTGCTCAATCCACTGAGCTATGCCAGCCAGGGCTAATATGTTAATATATTTTGTTCATGACTGTGGAACTTATGTTATCATAGAATGTCCTCTTCATGGACTCTCACATGGGCAGTGCTGCCTTTGAGGTGGTCTGGAATGGCTACTTCACACTCGGTCCTCATAGTGTGCACCCTTGTGCTCCCAGCCTGCAAGAAGTCCTCACTGTCTTCCACGTAGAATAGCTCAAGAGCCTATTCCACCACTCTCTGCTTTGTATCTTATGATCTGTCCAAAAGCAAAGTCTCCACCAGTCCGTAAACATTCTGCCAACTTTCTCAGTTCCGGTTTTATTTTGCTGTGCAACAGACCATTGCAAAACCTGATGGTTTAAAAAGTAACTAATGTTTATTTAGCCCTTGGATCTGCCCCTTGGGCCGGGCTCAGCAGGGAAGGCTCCTCTCTGTTATCTGCAGCCTCTACAGGGGCTGCTCACCTGTGTCTGGAGGATCTGCGTCCGGGGTGACTCACACACGTGGCTGGCGGTCGGTGCTGCCTGGTGGCCGAGCTGTCTGTTGGTACGCTCAAACTTGACCTCGCCCTGTGGTTGCCTGGTTTCTTCCCGGCATGGCGGGCGGGTTCCAAAACACAGGAAGTGGAAGCCTGGGTTTCTCAAGGCCCGGGTTTGGAAAGAGCTCAGTTTCGCTCCCACTGCATTCTATTGCTCAAGCCGTCACAGGACGCAGATTCCAGGGCAGATGACACAGACCCTGTCTCTAGAAGGGAAGCGCGACAAAGAATTTGGGGGTCATGTTTAAAGAAGGGCTGTAACAGCTCTGTGAATTTGCTCTTAAAATTCCTCCTGTCTTTAATGTTCCCTCACCCCTGCCCCTCCCTTGCCACCTGGAAAACCGCTGATTCTTCAAGTACAGCTCCAGTATCACTTGCCCTGTAGAAATGTTCTTGTTTCCACTTACTTAGCATGTTATTTTTATTGCTAGTCATATATTTAACACAGCATACTAATGTTGGTTGTCTGAGAGGGCAATAAGTCGTCCCCTCCTCCAGTTCCTAGCACTGGACCTGTGCTGAATTAATGGACTAATTTTCCAGACCATCTGTTATTATTATAACAGCTACCCTTTCATAAATGTTTACTGTTTAATAGGCTCTAACATATGCATCTTACAAATATTATCTTACTGAAGCCACACAAGTAGGAAGCTGTTATTGTTTCCATTATACAAATGTAGAAACTAAGATCATAGTAAGTTTTCCAGGGCCACACAGCCTGTAAGTGGCTGAACCAGAATTCAAACCTAAGTTCCAAGTCTATGTTCATACCCAATATGTTCTGATTTGAAGAGTGAGTTAGTAAAAATAGCCACTTATATCCTTTCAACATTGAGGTAACCAAAGAACTCTCTCAAATAGTTGATCTGTGGACTCTGCTACAGAGTTTTAGGAGGCTTAACTTAATTTCATTCCTACAAACCATTATCTGTCATTTTAAGTGATCCAAATATTTGAAGAACTCTTATGTGGAAAGAAGATTTGAACTTGGGTTCAAGATGGCAAATAAGAAGTAATAGGACGAAGCTATGAGGCAGAGGCAGATTTTGGCTCAACATAAGGAAGAACTTTTTACACATTAAGACTGACCATAGACGGAATAGGTCACCATCGGAAGTGCTGAGTTCCCTCTCAGTGCAGGAATCCAAGAAGATTCTGGATGACCATTGGGTTATTCCTGAGAAGTGAGCTAGACATACGTAATGAATATGCGGCCTTTGCTCCCCAAAGCCCTTTCCCTGTCTCCTGATAATTCTACAAACATTGTCCTCTGGGAAGTACTCTCTCCCTCACTCTCAGGTCATGCGTTTCGGGTGAAGTTTAGGTGGACTTGAAGCTATCCAAGCCCCTGCAGTGGTCACGTGACTTAGGCCTGCCCCATCAAAGCTTTGCATTTCCCTTGCCACACTGATTACTTCAGTGATGAGTAATGATCCAATCATAGCCAGTCATTCATTCAACAATATATATGTTGATGTTTTCTTTCAAATCATAAAGGATTGATGTGTATAGGAATTTTCCTCTCACTGTAAACCATTGGAAAATAAGTTAAAATATATAAAACAGCTGTTTTCAGACATTGTATTTAGGCAGCACAGGAATGTGATCTCCGAGGGACAGAAAGCAATGAAAGTGAGCCCTGGGATCGGCCAGGTAACCGGCTAGAGACAGTGTCCAGGACGCGGCACAGGGCAGGGGAATCCGCAGAGAGGCTGCCGGTCTCGCTGAGCTGGGAAGACCCAGGCTGGCCTCCGAGGATGCCGAGTCGGCTAGAATGTGTGCGATAGATTTCTGGAGAGGAGGAGCCCGGGCAAAGAGAGAGTTCCAGAAACCTGCCCAGGAGTTTCCTTCCATCTTTGGCTGAGTGTCAATCTATTATGCATAAGATGAAACCCCACGGGGCTTAGCCTGTCTTGCACATTAGCTTCTGGTTTTGACTGTACTGAGAAGGCTTTGTCTACCAGTGTTTAAGTGCATGGGCCAGGGCTTTGTTTCAGCCTCCCCTGCTGCCTGTTCCAACATTTCCTTGCCACAGCTTTCGCAGGGGTTAACCCCAGTAAGGACCGCAGTAGCTCGCTCGATAGCCCTGCAGTTGGTATATTGTTCAAAGTTCAATATTGCTAATATCATTTATTATTATATTAAAATCATGCTACTTACATATTAAATCATATTAAGAAATTTAACACAGGGAAGGCTGGCAATGAAAAAAAATGATGCCCACTCCTTTTCTTCTAAAGTATCGCCCAGTGAATATGTGGTGAGGTGACAAGGACTGCCGCCCTTGGAGCCCAGCCCACTTCTTGTCTGTGCAGCTGGTGACAGAGGGCAGGGCCGGACGCAGACTCTGGCAAGCAGCCACTGAAGCCACACCCCATAGGTGTGCCTGGAGCCCCACCTAAACTGGCTGCCCAGGTAGGGAGAACCTGTGTGCGGGGAAGGCCTCCCGGGTGGTCCTCCCCAGATCTCCTCCTGTGCGCTCTCCCTCCCCAGACACCTCCTGGGAGCCCCAGTCACAGACTCACGAGTCCCCCATTGGGAGTGCCACTTGGGAGAACAGAACTCTGGCATGGAGATTTCAGCCTCTAGACGTAAGAACAGGGCCTGACATATAGTAGGCTCTCAATGAGGGCGGGGGGAGAAACCTCAGGTTGTGGAGCCATAGAGTGTTAGAACGGATGAAATTCAGAGAGACTCTTTTTTTTTTTAAAGATTTTATTTATTTATTTTATTATTAGGGAGGGAAGGATGGGAGGTAGAGAGAGAGAGAGAGAGAGAGAGAGAGAGAGAGAGAAACATCAATGTGCGGTTGCTGGGGGTTATGGCCTGCAACCCAGGAATGTACCCTGGCTGGGAATCGAACCTGGGACACTTTGGTTCCCAGCCCGCGCTCAATCCACTGAGCTACGCCAGCCAGGGCTGAGACTCTTTATCAACTTCTTGTTAAGCTCCTTCTGAGCTGACTGTATTTTAGAATTGTTTCTCTGTTAAGTGAGTCCATAGACTTAAGCCTCAAGAACAACAGGAATCCCTCCTCCTTCCCTCTCTCTCATTTTCTTCTTCCCAGTCAGGAAGTCACCCACGTAATGATAGGCTGGTTAATATTTAACTATCATGTCTTTAGAAGAAAAGAAGCCTCGATTGGTAGTGCTCTGCCAATTCCTGCGGTGTAAATATTTCCACCATGGCCCTTTCCAAACTACTAATAAGATGTCACTGAATGTGGAGTTGGGGCACGATGTATATAGTCAGCTCTCTCGAGCCAGGACGAGCTGGCTCAAGCCGTCACTGCACCGTGTGGGCTGTGGGCCTGGGCTTGGAAGACATGCAGATCTGACTCAGGTTCTGAATCTGGCCAACTTTGGGCAACTCGCTTAATCTTCATGCACCACCATTTCTTTGTCTGCAGGATGGGGATGATCAGATTATGCATTTCATGGGGCTGTTCTGAAAAGCCGTTGGCCCCATGTACTCAAAGGACAGCACTCGAAGGCTGGTCTGGCTCATCTGAGCACTCCATGCAAGGCAGCTCCTATTAGTTATTGTTGTAGTAGTAAAATCACGGCACACAATAACTTCTTTCTCTCTGTGCCAAACATTGCAACAGCCCGGCAATAAAAATATAAGCTCCCCAGCCCTGGGAAATGTCTGGCCCGTTCCTGTGACACAGTGACAAGTTGGGAACAAAGGCACGTGATGATGTAGCATTGGCGGCCCAGACTTCGGGGAATCTGGCGGCTGGAAAGAAACAATTATGGCAAAGATGAAGTGACCTGTTTCTCTTTTTCACTCAAAACTAGATTTTTGGCTAGGAGGCTTCCTTCAATAGTCCCGTAAGAACCTTTAGGAAAATGGATTGTTTCGGCCACAAAGCAGAGTGTATTCTGATCCACGATATGGCTTGCACATGAGAGGATGACTGTCCAGCCCTGCCAAGCAGGAATGAAAGAGAGTGATGTTTCCTGCACAGAGGCCAGGGGGAGGCCGCCGAATGCCCCTCGCTCCTAGGGACCTCCATGTCTTTGTAGCCACAAGGCCTTGTCCAGGGGTTGGCACATAGTAGGGACTAGAGAAATAGTTGCAGAGGTCACACAAACATACATTGAATGCCTATTTTGTGCCAGGCATTGTGCTCAGCATAGGGACTCAAAGATACAAAGATGACACACTATACGGCTTCAGAATTCATTGTCTTCTGCACGAGAAAGACAGGTGAATAAACAGCTGTCACTTTAGAACAGCGGTGTGGAGAAGGTCCTGGGGGGCAGAGCTGAGGCTGCGATGAACTCTCTGGGGTATCATGGAAAGATTCACACAGGAGGTGGCATGCGAACTTGGTCTTGAACCCTGAAGGACTGGACCAGCTGAGGAAAGCAGTAGCAGCCGTCCAGGTAGAGAAGCAGATTTGTATAGCAGGTAACATTTCAGGGCTAACTAGAGACTTGTTCTTCACCCCAGGCCTGAGCTGTCCAGCATGCGCTGCACCCAGAGGTGAAGCCAGATTGCCGGATGCCCCCAGAGCTCTCTTCTCCTTCCTCCCACAGTGGCAGTGTTTCAGCTGGATGCATGACTGCCAAAAAGGTCAACATTTCCCAGCTTCCCTTGCAGCAAAGTGAAGCCATGCAACTTACTTCTGGCCCATGAGACGTGATCCCAAGTGGTATGTCCTTAAAAAGAGTATGTGAGGATTGGTCTTGTCCTCTGGGCCTTGGCTGTGGCTGGAGTGGGTGGTGCCCAGAGGGGAGACTTTGGAAGTGGAGATGGAAATTACTTTGGAGGATGGCAAAGCTGCCCTGTGTGCTGGACTTCCTACCTTTGAAGTGGCATATGGGAGTGGCATGGATCTCATCTAAGTCCCTGTGTTTTGTAGCCTCTATTGTTGTGTCAGCTTAGCCTGCATGCTCACTGCCCAGCTCATGGTGTCATTGTATTTAAACTCTTCCAATAGAAAACTTGCCTAAATACCCGAGTCTTTTCCTTCCATGTGGACTTGTGTTTCTGAGAGCAAAAGGCTGGATTTGCACTTTTGCTTCTCGTTCCAGATTAGGTAGACAATATCTAGTCAGTGGTGGCAGCAGCTGGGGAGCGGGCAGAGTAGTCTGTCACACGAGGAAGGTCCGGGCAAATTCAGACGGAGAACACGAGATTGAGAAGTCAACAAGTCTCTACCCAAGCAAGCCGCATTGACCCCAGAGTCAGGGTCTGTGGGAGCTGGACAGAGGGAGCCGTCCCGTGAGGACCCCCACAGGTAATGATCATCCCTCTGCCAGCGCGCAGCAACGTTCTCCTGGGCCCCGAGACTCAGCTCAGCCTCCTTCCAGCAGCTCAGCCCCCAGTCCACGAGTTCCCCTATCCCCCTCCAACACCCCTGGACATACTAAACCCCACCCCAAACCCAGCAGGGGGTACGTGGTCACCTTGAGCAAAGATGCTGACGTGAGGGTAATGTGGTCAAGGTGACTCACTGAGGCAGGGCAGGGGTGCCCAGCTCACTTCTGTCACCCGAGAGCAGATGCCAGAGAATGAGTCAGATGCTGTGTCAGGGCAGTTTCCAGGGGTTCCTAGCGGTGGAGGTCCGGTAGGCATGCGGCTGGGGCGGAGGGGTAATCGGAGGCAACAGGAGAGTCGAGCTGAACTGAGTCTGCGAAGGGCCTTGAGGAGTAAAGAGGAGGGATTCATGTGGAGGGAGCGGGCTCAAGCTGTCAGACAGTGTTAGGCACCGGTGCTCTGGAGGCAGCGGGAGGGTGTTTGGAGGCAGAGAGACCGAGGAGTCCAGTAAGGAGGTTCAGCATGAATCTGGGCAGGTGTCATAACAGGGAGCCGAGTGGTAGCAGCAAGGACCCCATGGGGAAGGATGAATTTTTGCGTCAGTTAGCATGTAGAATGGCTGAACCTGTGGCTGAAGGAAACCGAGGCACCCAGGATGATTGCCCAGATGTGAGAGAAGGCAACCGGGTAAATGGTGCCTTTAATGAAACCAAGATCCTGGGGAAGGAGCGTGGGAAGATCATGAGTTAGTGGCAGGGCCTTCCGCAAGCAGGGCGAGGCCCTGGGCCAGGTGGGCTGGGGAGGATGCAGGCTAAGTAGGGGCGCGCCCTGCTGCCCAAGCACCTGGCAAAGGGGCCTGGCCTGTGACTGGCCTGTAGCACCTGGTTGTGGAATTTAATTGAATTAAAACTCAGTGTGAACACAAGGCCCTGACTTCAAGCAGTGAGGGAAAACAATTCCACGGCCTGGCAATGACATTGGCCTCTCAGCTCCAGGCCCGCAAGAGAGCAAATCTCTCTCTGAAAGGGGGAAATACAAAGAAGGGAAGTGGCCCCAGTCCCATTTCGGAGGGACAAGGTTAGCCCCCGTTTGGGGAAAGTGTGTGCGGACAGGACAGAGGCGGCTCTGAGACGGAGCCACCCTCCAGCTGGGACGGCTGTTGGTCGCGGATGCACGGGGCCCCGCTCCCCAGGAGCCCCCTTCCCCGCTTTGTCTGACCCTGCGCTGACAGCAGCTCTTCTGAAACAAACCCAGTCCTGGGGAAGACAACCGTCTCCCTGGAAGGGAGAGCTCGGAGGGAAACGGCGCGCAGGAGCGAGGTCTGCCCGTGCCTTTGGGCGGCTGCCGTGTGAAAGCGTAAGTCCACGAAGAGATGCTTGGAGACTTTCCTGCTGCGGCTGGGGTTCTTCTGTTACCCTTTCCACTCCTGGAGTGCGGCCGCTCTGGCTAGGAAGGCCGCAAAGCCTGGCTGGATGGCCCGGATCACGCGGGTCACCGTCGGGTGAAGGAGATGCAGGCGTGGGGCTGGGGGAGCTTTCCTGCCCCCTGTCGGTGCTCAGCTCTGTCCCAGGTACGGCCTCGCCAAGTCATTGCACCATTGCTGAAAGGTCGTGGGCTGGAGTGCACTCTCCAGAACTCCCAGATCACCGAGATGGTAATGCCGAGAGGTGTGAGCGTGACTGTGTGTTGTGTGTGTCGGGGAGAGGTATGCACGTGTGACCAGCAGGATGCTACAGCACAAGGTGACGACAGGTCACAGATGGAGAGGAGACCCGGCGGCTCGAAGTCCCCATGCTACATTTCGTGTGTTCAGCCAGCATGCTGGGAGGGCTTGCCTTGTGCTACGTTCTGGAAATGTGGGACTCCGGTGTGGCCGGGCTGGGTGGGAGTAAAATAGTAACATCCACAGTGTTTTGGGCACTCCATTGACATTATCTTGAATGTCTACAATTATCTAGAGTACCTAGAATATCTAGAATTATCTCGAATGTCTGGATGTTGTCACTTTGTAGTAATCACAATTGATGTGCCAGAGTCTATGCTAAGCAGTGAAATGTACATTGCCTTTGACCTTCCTAAACAAACCCGGGTAAACGGACCCGGGAGAGAACTGGCCATTTTCCACTGTACAGATGAAGAAACCGAGGCTCGGGTTAACAACTCGCCGAAGTCACCCGGAGGCTCCACCCCTAAGCTCATCCTTTGCCTGCTGGCAGGACCGCCTCCTCGTCTCCAAGCGAGGGGTGACGGCGCCTCCTCTGCAGGGCCGAGATGATCTGACCGTGTCTGGGAGGTGTTCGGCGCGGGGCGGCACTCAGCGGGCCCTCACTGCAGGCGTTCTCCTGGAATGCTGCTCCGAGTTTAGCTGGACCAGGCCCCGGGCCGCAGAGGGAAGGCCCCGTGGGGTCGGCTCCTTCGGCCTCAGTCCCCGCACCGTGGTGCTCATTCTCCCCTCGCACCCCAGTGCCTTCCCCGTCGTGGTCCTTCCAAGTTGAAAGAAAAGGAAAACCAGGCCTCATGTCAGGGCTGTGGCCGCTGGGGCTGTCTCTTTCCCATCTGTTTCTCCAGAAGGTTCTGGAATGGTGCATCTGTTCCATATAAATAGCTGTGGAACTAAATCGTGCGCCCTTTTCGCCTCGTGGGCCACAAGGCCGTCCCCCTCCCCCCACCACTCCCTTCACCCCCACGAGCACTTAAACGGGACACCGTGTTGTCCTCGTGTCAGACCCTCGGGCGGACTTCTTCACAACCTGCTGTTCCATCTGAGCAAACAGAGGCTCGGCGAAGGGAGTGACGGGCGGCTGGTCGTGCTGCACGAGAACAAGGCTCTGGGCAAAGCACCGTGGCGGGGCCAGCAGCCCCTTTTCATCTGGTGGGTGGCAGGAGGCGTGCGCGGGGGCGGGGGTGTGGCGCTCACCTCCAAGTCCCCTCCAGGCCTCGCCGCTTTACCCGCCCCCGTGGTCTCCCAGTAAATTGCTGCAGCATGTGCCTCCTGGCACCGGCCCTAAAGACCACCCAGGCACTGAGGCAAATACCCAGTGCGGCACCGACCTCAGTCCAGAGCAGGTGCCTCTTGGAGCCAAGCATGGCCTGTGGTCTCTGGTGCCGGGTTGCCTCCCAGGTGTGCCCCGAGCAGGCAGAACTGAGAACACGGTCACGCGGGCCAGGGAGGGAACTCCGGGGGTCGGAGGCTACCCACCACTGTCCCGGCACTGCCTGGGGTATCTAGGTTCCCAGCATGCAGTGAGTGCCTTTCTGCAGAACTGGGTGAGAAGGTGCATTCTTGCGAGTCAAAAACAAAATTAATTATTAGGAGAGTTCATGCTTTTTCAGGTCACCCAGAAATTCTTTTGTGAAGAAAATCGGGCCCTAATAGGCCCTCTTTAGAAATCCTGATGTCTGCGTGCAGGTTTGCTTTGTGCACCCCTTTCTTGCTGTGCCCTCACAGGCCCCCAGAGTAGGAGGCAGAAGACCTCTGGGTGTAGCTCATTCACTGTTCACCCTTGACCTTGAGAAAGTCAGTTAACAGTTTAGACTTACCGTTAACTGACTTTCACTGATGAACACTGAGGAGGCACTAAATCCATGGGAGTTTGGGACTAAGGGGAGCTTATAGTCTTCTTTTCAACAAAGTGGAAAATGGCCACCACTCTTCTCTTCTGGGGGTTGTTGAGAGTTGCTGCAGACCACTGGGGAAATTCAGATATTATCTATTTATTCGTTCAACACGTATTTTTGAGTGTTTACCTGAAATGTTCTGTTTGGAAGCGAATGACCGTTGTGCACTTCGGTCGCTATTTGAACGGAGGTGAGCACACAGCAGCGTGGACCTGGGAAGTGTGTCGTCTTCTCCTCGGGGAAGCTGGGCGGTCTTTGCAGGGCAGGTACGCGTCATGGCTAGTGTTCACTGAGTTCTGGCCGTGCGCAGGACCCTGAGCGGGCCAGGCACGTGAGCCCTGGAAGAGAGTGTGTCCGAGGAAGACACGGCACAGAAGAAGGCACAGAGGCATGGAGGAGAGCACCGTCAGGGAAGAATCTGTGGTCGGTGCTAGGTTGTTCATAACAGAGCATTGCCACAGGGTCGTGGGAATGGCTCTTACCCAGGTGGGCCTCGGGGTGCCTCTTATGCTTACTTCTGCCATTAGTCTCGTGGCTCTCCAGCAGGCTGGTAGCACTCCCCCAGGTTACATTTGCAAATGTGGGGGAGCATTTAACACCAAGAGCACAAGGGTGTGAAACACCCTGCAGGGAGTGCCCAGGATGGTCCCACGGGAGGAAGACTTGGCCTGCCTGCCTGCAATGCTAGGCCACCTTCTTTGGGCCTCACTTTTGTAGTGTTGCAAATCCAAAGGCTCTCTTCTGACCACCCAAACCACTGACATGTTCTAAAAC